GTGGGGTTAGCCTATGCTTGCTCTTGCAGGGCTATGTAGTATGCCCCGAACGCTACACCCTGAAACTCTAACCCCCAAACCCTTACAGCCCTAAATCCCAAAACCCTAAATCCTAAATCCCAGGCCCCCAAACCCCTGAACCCCCAAACCCCAAAACCCCTAAACCCTAAATCCTAACCAGTAAGGCTTGAAATTCTTGCCTCTTGCCAGAAGCAGGTTTATGGAAGTTTCTCACAGGTTTGGGACCCCTTTGTTGGGTCCTTATAGTAAGGACTAAGGCATTTTAGGGTTGCGGGTGTAGGGCACCCGATTCGTTTGACACAGCCTTCGTAGAAGCTTGAATAACGTTTGCAAGGCGTTCCCGTGTCGTGTAACCTCAGGTGTGGGAGGTTCTTACAAAGTCATAACCTGATAGGCCCCAAGGGACATAGCAGGATTACAAGGAGAGTTTCTAATAGGGGTTTCACAGGTGAGAAATGCATTTATACTTTGTCGTTGTCCTTCAGGCTCCTTTGCTAGAGAAGTCCCGGTTTGTCAGCACACGATTGAGGGTCGAGGCGGTACAGTGTACTTTGGGTTGGCACCCCCTTTGCACCATTAGTGACCTCAATGGATAAGGGCATTTATGTTCCTTATATGTCGCTATCCATGGGTGGGGCTCCAACCTACACTGTAAGTAACTGTGATTTTAAGGACCATGAATATTAGCAGTAATCGTACAAGAGTAGCTACCAGTATTAGTCCATGAAATCTACACCCTAAACCCCAAACTGCTTCGTCCGCGCGTAAGGTACCTCTGGGTAAGCTGCTGAAGATGCGAGAAGTCACGGCCCACGAGCAGCTTTTGGAGTCTGACACGCTGGTCGAATTCAAGGAGAGGGTTGGTTTAGGGTTTTGAGTTTAGGGCTAGAGTTGATGATTAAGTTGCTTTCCCCAAATGATAACCACCCCCCCACCCCGAGTCTTGAAACTTCCCAAGTAATAAAGTTTTTTTTTTTTGTTTGCGGGCGTGCTTATCATAAAGTGGCAGCATGAGTGTGCCCCCCCCTCACCCCTGCGCCCCCCCCAAACAAAAAGGGGAGCCTCTACAAGAAAACGACCTCAAAACGAGTTGGGGGTCTGGGGGATCCTATGGTTCCTAGTAAAATCAAGAAAGGAAGAAGAATCCTTTGGCTCCTATCGAATCCATAAGGACTTGCTCAGCCTAACTTGCAAGAGAACAGGAAGGGCAGGGTCCGCGGCCTTTACGTTAAACAGCGAGGTCTTGAAACCCCATCAAAAGCAATTGCAATCTAATTAAACTCATAGAACATCTCTTTAAAAGCAATCAAACATGAATTTGATCAAAACGTTCCCTCGGATTTTTTCCAGCAGTAAAACCTGTACTTTATCGGGACAACCCCTCCCAAATGGAATAGGGCGTCCAGAATGATTTTCATAAAGCTCTACCTTATTGGAGACCCCCGCACTAATTGGGATTCAACATTAAAGGGTGTTGTGAGGGTTTAGTATTGGATGGAGGGGATGACCATGGTCCCCCATCAAGACCTTCAGATGAGGAGGACTATCACCAGGTCTCTGATACTGAATTTATAGTGAAACTTAGTCCCGACGGGGATTTATGTAGGAGTTTCTTGAGGGGCATTTTAGTCCTTGTTGAGTGCTGCTATTAGGGTTTAGGGTTTAGGGTTTGCCCTTCTGCCCAAACCATGTCGTCCAGGAGGATCTTGGTGTAGCTCTCTTTGTGTCGCACCAGTGGCTGGCGGACTCTCACCCAGATCCGAATCGGGGCCGTTTTAAAGTGAAAGCTACCGTATGACTTAGGGTTTTTTGGATTCGGCTTCAGGGTTTAGGGTTAAGGGTTGGGGATGTGGGATCCTCCACCCTCCAGCAGAAGTCAAATTAAATTTCGTAGAGCTTCAAGATATGAAAGCAGATATAATCTCTTGATGCCTTTCCTTGCTTGTTTTAGGGTTTAGGGTCGGGGTCTTGGTGGTTGCAGGGCTCGGGGGTTTCAGGGTTTAGAGGTTTGGGGCTTCAGGGTCGTGGCGTGCAGGGTTTTGGGGGTTTCGCTGTCTAGGGCTTAATGACTGGGTCCTCAAAATCTCCTAAGCCTTAGCCTTAAGGTTTTCGAGTCCAAGTCCTGGAGAGTTACTGATAAGGTCAAAAGCTTTCGTCCCATAGTCTGGGACCTTATTAGGGACATCTGCCTAGTATACACCCTGTTCCGCTCTGCGCGACTCCAACCCCCGCGGCCCTAACCCTTATAGTCCCTCTTAAGTAGACAGAATGTGGCTTTGGGTTTATTTTAATGAGATCCCCATATACCCCAGATTCTACTGTATCTACTTAAGGGGGACTATACCCTAAACCCCAAACCCTGAATAGTAGTTTCCATTTTCTTCTCCATTATCCCTAGAGGTAACCCCCATATTCTATCTACCAAAGGGGGACTAAACCCTAAACCCTAAACCCTTAAACCCTAAACCCTAAACCCTTAAACCCTAAACCCCAAACCCTAACCCTAAACCTTAAAACCCTAAACCCTCAACCTTAAACCCTAATCTCCTAAACCCCTCAAGCCTAAACCAGCCCTAAGCGCATGACGAGCCTAGGAAAGCCGAGCAGCTGGCAGTTCTTCAGGATGCTCTGACCAACATCATATCAGGTGCGGGGTTGTCCTCAAAAGATCCTTCTTAGGGTTTAGGGGGGTTTAGGGTTTAGGGTTTAGGGGGTTTAGGGTTTAGGGCTTAGGGCTTAGGGTTCAGGGTTCAGGGTTTAGGGTTTGGGGACCAACATCATATGAGGTGGGAGTATTCTCAAAAGATCCTTCTTAAGGTTGTTATGGGGATCGTACGGGACATGATGAAGAATGAAATGGCAAAGAGCATGGACAATTAAATGGAAACTGGGCTTATGCAGGGGTCTAGGGCAATGATTGCCAATGTCATGGTTCTAGGGTTGTTCTCAAGGTCTTTAGAAAGGACCATTGGGAATCAACTTCCTCCAAGGTTATGCCCCTCAACCCTGATCCCTAGACCCCTACACCGAAACAAGGACCGGGTGTGGGAGTTTCGGGAGCTGTTTCAAGGGCTTGAGGGCTTGGGGTTAAGCTCATGGTGAGGGTTAAAGAATTCGGGGTTTAGGGTTGAGGTTAAAAGTTCCGTGTCATACATCACACACTTGTAGTTGTTCAGGCAAGAAACGGACATAAGTTACTGTCAAAATCAAACGTGACAGCTTTCCTTGTACTGGCGTGAGTTTAAGATGTTGTCCAAACGCTGGGAGTAATGGAGATTAGCAAGCACTGGGGTTCCAACAGCTCTAGTACAGGAGTCTTGTGACAGCCGTGTCGTGCGCATTCTGCCGGATACAGGACAGCCTGAGCCCCCTGCCAGCTTCAGGAGGGCACTCAAACGAAATGCAGAACTTGTCCAAGCTGATCAGAGTCTTCTGAAAATGACGTCAGGTACTTCTGCAAGTTCAGGGACACACATCTTCAGGTAGATCCCTCTACGAACCCCTTAATTTCCTTTATCATCACCTTCAAAGGAAAGTTTCTTATGGGTTTGGTCGCAGGAAGCTAGCCTATGCTGAGGCTAGTACTAGGGATTGCTTGTCTCAGCTGTGGTCTTTCATCGCTCAGCTCCAGATAAGCCATACGTGTGTGTGTGTGAAGAAAGTATGAAGCTGATAAAGTTTCATTCCTGAACTTCAACCCCCCAATCCCGAACTGCACGGAAACCGGCACATACGCTCTGCAACTTTTGCTTTGGATCCCATGGCCCTAAGCCACCCTAAACCCTAACCCTTAACCCTTGAACCGCAGGTCGGAGCCGGGTACGCCTTCCGGTCGTCATGGAGTTGCTTGATCGGTTTTGGATGTTCTGAAAATGTTTTTTTTTTTGACGTAGGGGGCTCTCATCTCATCGTAAGAGGCATGCCCGCAAGAGTAGTATCTGCTTTGGGGCAAGGATTTTGGAGGGTGCTTCTCAGACGAGCCTTCGGTGTCTTGGAGTTCAGAACTCAGAATCTGCGACATCGACCACGCTTCGCATGAAAAGGCTGAAGTTAATAATGCAGAATAACAACGCACCAGCAGGTGTTCAGTAGGAGGAGGATGCTTTCGAAGTGGCTATTGCTCAGCATAGAGGTTTGCCGTGAATCTGGGGCCTGATATGTTGCCTGAACAGATCCAAAAGCATAACTATTATTTCCTGAGAGGTTCTGCCTGAAACCCTAAACCCTAAACCCTAAACCTTTGTCTGGGACCATTCGGCTGCTAAGCCTAGAGATGATTTCCGTAGACCCTGCACCAAAATTCCTAAGCCTTACTGTAGACCTCAAGCTTAAACCCTAACCTTACGCCGGAAGCCAGAACTCCAAACTCTAAACCCGAAAGCTTAAACTCGAAACCCCAAGCCCTAAGCCCCACAACCCAAAAGCTTGTTAGAAAAACCCATGCCCTAAATCCTAACCCTAAACACTAAACCCTAAACCTGAAATCTTTAGGGTTTAGGGTTTAGGGTTAAGGGTTAAAGGTTTAGGGTTTAGGTTTAGGGTCCTTCAGCGGACTTAGTGATAATGGAAAAGGAAATGGAAACTACTAGATTACTTAGGGTTTAGGGTTTAGTGTTAAGGGTTTAGGGTCCTTCAGGGGACTTAGTAATAATGGAAAAGGAAATGGAAACTACTAGATTATTGAGGGTTTAGGTTTTAAGGGCAGGGGGACTTAGTATGTAGGTTGGTATATGTGGGATTACATAGGGTTTAGGGTTCAGGGTACTATAGTGGGGGTATATATGACGACCAAATAGGGTTTAGAGACTAGGATTCAGGGTAGGAGAATGGAGAACCACATGCAAAGGAAAACAACACATTGAGTAGTATTTTATTTGGGGATACTCTGGTACCCAATATAGAGTAAGATTATATCCTCCTTTTGGGGTATAGTACTTTATATAAGGAACATAATCTTACTAGGTTCAACCACCAAAAAAACAACCCTAAACCCTAAACTCTGAACCGAAATGGGGGTCGACCATAGCCGACTGCCTGCCTCCCCACAGCCATGGGTGCGGTTAACAGTCACACTTCGGCCCTTCTACAGCACATCACAACGAGCCCCGAGCCCGAAACCTTAAGCCCCAACCTTTAACTCTAAGATCTAAACCCCAAGCTTGAAAAAGAAGCCGCACGCCCCAAAACCCTAAGCCCCAAACCCTAAACCCCATACCCTAAACCCCATACCCTAAACCCCAAACCCTTGACAAAACCCTAAACCCTCAACCCATGTTTTAACTAAAGATTCCCAGGATGGAGCTACAGAAAACCTAAACTAAACCCTAAACCCTTGCCTTAACTACAGAGACCCTAAACTAAACCCTAAACCCTAAAACCTTATATATCTCTATATAACCCCCCATATAACCCCTACATAACCCTAGGCCCCTTTAAAGGGACCTTAAGCACTAAACCCCTGCCTTAACTACAGAGACCCAAAACTAAACCCTAAACCCTAAACTCTAAACCCTAAACTAGACCCTAAACCTTAAACCCTCAACCCCTGTTTTAAGTCTACAGATTCCCAGGATGGTCTATGGCCGCCTGCCGACTCCCGACCTTCGAGCGAAGCCGCTCTACATCTGGCAGCCTGGTTGTTTAGGATTTAGGATTTAGGTTTAGGGTTTAGGGTTTAGGGTTTAGGGTTTACGGAGGTTCATATTGGGATAATAGAACATAAAATGGAAACTACGATCTGGCAGCCTGGCAGAGTACTTGGAGGTTCAGGGTTATTGTAAGGAATATTTAAGGTTTAGGGTTTAGGGTTTAGGGCCCAGTGCTTGAAGGTTCATATTGGGATAATGGAAAATACAATGGAAACCATTAAAATGGAGAATCAAGTGGAAAAGATAATGGAAATGAGATGGAAACTGGGATTATTTAGGTGAGCGTGGCAGAGTACTTGGAGGTTCAGGGTAATTGTTAGGGGGTAAAGGGTTTCTAGGGATGATATATTGGGTTTTGGGGGTTTAGGGATTAGGGTTTAGGGTTGAGGGCTCAGGGTTGGTCCACAGGGGTATATAGGGTTTAGGGTTATATGAGGGTTTACTTAGTGTTTATATAGGGTTCTCTAGGCGTTATGTAGGGTATATAGGGTTAGGGTTTATATAAGGGATTGCATTTATAGGGTTTGTATAGATACATACATAGGTTCTTTTGGGGCTAGGCAAGGGTATGTTGGGTTTAGGGTAATTATACCCCAATAGGGTTCATGGGAGTGTTTAGGGTTTGGGATGTTGGTTTCCGGCTAACAATGCTTGGAGGTTCAGGTAGCTGTAGGGGATGTATCGGGGTGTATGGGGAGAGAGAGATACACACACATATGCATAGAAGTAGTACGTAGGGTTCGGTGCAGTAATCCGGGCTTGAGGTTTAGAATCTATTGTTCAGGGCACCTCTACGGAAAATTATAAATTCAAATGACATATAGTGCTTCCGGGTTTAGTAGCATGTGCAGTCATCATTTTCTTGAAGCCCAGCTAATACGCCGCAAGTCCCGTCACATGCTTATAGTTGGGTCGTAATTTCCTGCAAATCCTGGTATGGAAGCTTCAGTACTTAGTGTTTAAGGTTTCAGATTTAGGGTTGAGAGTTCCGGGTTTCGGGTTGAGGGTTTAGGGCTGCAGGGATTGGGGGCTTAGTGTAGACTTAGCATAGATTCCTGAGTGAGTAAGGTTCAGGGTTTAGGGTTTCAAATCGGGGGCTTAGGGTTTACTGCCCGCACTCAGTAAATATTGGATAATAAGTTTATGTTGAATATATGCAGCCCTTAACATGACCCTTTGTTATTGACTTTTACTGGATGGGGGCAGTACCCTAGGCGAAGCATAGGAGCTTGAACGGCAAATGATTATTTCTCCAAAAGCTTGTCAACAGTCACTTAGGGGTAAAATAAGGGGTTGTATTGGGATACTGGAAAAGAAAGTGGAAACTACTATTTAGGGTTTAGGGTCGTCAACATTGACTCTCTCTTTTTTTGTATGTGGCAAAAGGGCAGCTTCCGATTTTCCGTTTAGTTTTCCGGGAGAGCCTCCATGCAGACACCCTTGAATGACGCAAACTGGCACACTCAGCTTCTAGAGTTTAGGGTTTAGGTTTTTTGGACTTTACTTGGAGGGTCAGGGGGGTTGAGTAGCTGAAGGTAGGTTAATATTGGGGATAGCAGGGGTAGTTACATGGTTTATAGGAGATCTTAGTCTAGCTACAAAGTCCCTCTGGCCCTCCAAGTACGTCCAGTGGGGAGAGCTTACATTGAACATCCTGGGTCACATTTTCGCTTGTAGGCCCCGCCAACCCCCTAAAACAGGCGAAGCGCCCCTGTGCTTTCTACCTTGCGAGCAAGTCCTTGTGGCTTTAACTTGAAAGGATACTGGTCCGATTAATTCTCGATTCCCGTATACTAACCCTTCCACTAGGCTCCCAAATTCTCCATTATAGGGCCCTAAACCCTAAACCCTAAATAGTAGTTTCCATTTCATTTTCCATTTTCTTTTCCATTTGATTCTCCATTAAGGGTGACAGGTCTTTGAGGATGGTTAAGGCTAATTGAGGTCAATTAAGGGGCCACTTAGGAGGATATCATTTTGGTGGGTAGTAAGCCCTAAACCTTAACCCTAAACCCTAAACCCTAGGGGAACCAGGTAAGGTAAGGCGGCTGTCTTCCAACCCTACAGCAGAATCCACCTGAATCCTGGATTAAGGGTTTAAGGGTTTAGAATCCCAGGTTTAGGGTTTAGAGTTTACAATCCTAGGTTTAGGGTTTGGGGTCAGGGACTTAGAATCCTAGGTTTAGGGCTCAGGGTTTAGAATCTTAGGTTTGGGGTTTAGGGTTTAGAATTATCGCTGCCGAAACATTTACCAATAGTGGAGAACCAAAAGTAAAAGATACTGGAACTGAACATGAAACGGAAACTGGGGTCTCAAGATTGTGGTCCCAGATTCCTTGTATATTTATAGTATAGGATATCTCGAAATGATAGTAGTAATTATTCAGGCCCCTATATACAGTAAACCCTGAAGCTGCAGAAGCGGTTCAGGTATGACTACTTCTGCTGCCCGCAGGGCAACAGCATTCAGGCCTTCCGCCAGCGACAAAGCGCAATCGACAATATCGTCTCCTACATCTCCAGGTGCCAGGTTCAGATTATGGATTCGTGCGGAGGTTCTAGGCATATTATTAGCCTACTTACATCTGCTTACTAAATCCCCCTGACCTTAAAACCTAAACTCTAAATAAACTGTAGTAGTTTCCATGTATTTCTCCAATATTCTTGAGTCCCCCACAAGACCCTCCAAGTAGCCCCCCTACTTGATGTCGCATCTAACCCTAATATATACCCTGCTATACTATAGTAGTTTCTGTCTTCTTTTCCATTATCCCAATATAATCCCCTATATATACCCTACTATAACCCCTATATAATCCCTATAATCCCTGTAGTTTCCATTTTCTTTTCCATTATCCCAATATTCCCCCAATATATACACCTAACATTTATGCTGCATTTGCATGGGGACCATAGCTTGCTCTTGGAGGAGTCTTGTAAAGTGTGCATAACGGGGTCTTAAAGGGTTTCTGTACGATCCAATGAGAGTATTTCTGGGTTTATAGGAACATTTTGCGTTGGGTGTCCTCTGGAGGGGATGCGGGAACTTTGCAAACTACACATCGCAAGGTGCAAGTACTTTGTGGTGCTCTGCCCCAGTCTGACTCACATGGACCGGCGACTGGTCCTGGATGAGGGAACTTGGGCACAGCGCGGATGGTGTAGAGCCTTACCTCTCCATGAATTCCCTCCTTCTTGGGTTTAGGGTTGACGGCTTCCCTAACAAAACTCCGGCCCCCTTGAGAAGAAGCCCCACAATGTAGTACCATAATATGTTAAGGGGGATATTATTAGGGGAGAGGGAGGGGGATCACCAAGCCTCCAGGGGTTTTTGGTTTTGCGTGTGGGTGTTGCAGTTGGGTTTTCTTCTATCCTTGCTGGAAGCATTTCCAATGGGATTACTGTTTTGGGAGAAGCAAGGTAAACCCTCAACCCTAAACCCCCTTAAACCAGCAAGGAATGGAAAGGCTTGGGAGGGAGTTAGCAGTGCACGAGAGCGGCGCAGCCATCGTGATCGAGAGCGGTCTCCGTCAGTACCTCATGTTCATGACCAGCAGGCATTTGGACGCTCCTGGTGACTGGAAGTTTCTGACAAAAGTTTATACACTCCCCCAAACTAACATGGAAACCCATATAGTACCCTTTTAGAGGGACTGTAGTCTTTAATGTGCCCTTTTTGGGTTTACATGTTAGTTTCCGGGAGTATAGTTCCTGTTATCTAGAATCTAGAGTCCTAATCACTTGGTAAAATTTCAAACCCGGAGCCCTAAACCCTAAACCCTTTAACCCTAAACCCTTAAAACCTAAACCCTGAGAGGCGACGGGCAGTTCACAGTGGATGGCGACCGGCCGCGAGTCGGCCGCGTCATCACCGAAATGGTCTGGAAGAAGCTCCAATTTTACTTGGAGCAAGGTCGCAATTTCTTAAAGTTGGGGTTCCTGTATTTCTGAAAATTGGGGTTCCTGTATATCAATAAATGCAAGAATCTCGGGTAGCTATGTATCTGAGGCCCCCAAGAGGGGCAAGGTTCACTTCTGAGACGTTCGCAGGTGATCTGCATGGCTACCGTTTCCTTCTGAATAAGCAGGCTCCCAGCTTCCATTTCATTCTCAATTTTTTCCATTTGATTCTCCATTATTGGCATAATATTGGCACCGTATAACCTTTAGAGTAGCCCCCTATATATCAAGCAGGCTGCCTGCTGTTTTAAAAGCCTGGATATTCTGCCGATGGATGGCCTGGTGTCTGGCTTTGAAGCCACCAGCGATCCATTCTCTGACCCTCATGCCTTCATGGTGGAGCGGATCCTTGGTAGTTTATTAGCTCAGCTTGAATTTCAATCGATCTGAGTTATCCTCTAGACTCTAAACCCTAAGCAAATTCTAGTTATGAGGGACTATGGCAGGTTAAGGGTTTAGGGGTCCCTAAGCCCCAAACCCCAAACCGTAAACCCTAAGCTCCAAACCCTAGACCCTGAATCCCAAACCCCCTAAACCCTAAACTCCAAACCCTAATCCCTAAAACCCTGAACCCTCAAACCAAAAGTTTCGGTGACAAAAGGATATGTTGGCCTCTGCCCCACATTGCCTGCTTCACTCCGAGCCCGGATTTCCCTAGGTAGGAACAGACCCAAGTTACAACCAGGTGAGGGGTTAAGGGTTATATTGGGGTTATATAGGGATGATGGAGAAGAAAATGGAAACTACTATAGGGTTTAGGGTAAAATTATTTCTCAATACTGGAGAATCAAATGGAAAAGCAAATGGAAACCGGGGTTGAGGGTTTAGGCTTTAGTTTTTAAAGAGGGGTTATACTGTGGTCATAGAGGGATAATGGAAAACAAATGGAAACTACTATAGGGTTTATGGTTAAGGGTCCCCTAAGCCCTGAACCGTAAACCTCCCGTAGTCCCTTTGGACTGGGCCACTTACACTGGTGTTTCATACCATACCTTCCTGGTCAACTCCAAACAGAAGTGGCAAACAAGATTGGTGGGACTTCAACTGCTACAATTTTGGCACTTTGTAACTTATGTCTTTTTGGGTTCCTCTGTTTTATATGAAGGCAGCTACAAGTTGAAATTTTTGTAGAGGGTCAACAGGCAACCAAATGACCTAAACCCCAAATGCTAGACCCCAAGTAAGTTTACGGGTGCTTAGTAGGGAGTAGTGGAATAAACTCCCTATTTAATCCCCTCAAAAATGAAAAATGTATTCCCACATTACCTACTCACCCTTCCCCCCCCCCTCCAAATAGGATTCGTACACGGACGCATATCGTATACCCTAAACCCCAAGTGAGTAGTATTTTATTTGGGGATACTATGGTACCCATTATAGAGTAAGATTCTATCCTCCTTTTGGGGTACAGTATTTTATATAAGGAAGATAATCTTACTGGGTTTAACCACCAAAAAAACGCTACTAAAGTAAGGTTCTTGCACGAGAACAAGTTTGAGAAAATCTCCCAGCTTGACGGAGCCGGGTGGACGCCCATGTGC